AGGGTACTGGATTTTGTCAAATGCTTTTTCTGCATCAATTGATATGATAATATGGTTTTTGTCTCTCAAATTTTCATGTGATGTATCACGTATATTGATTTGTGGATATTGTACCATCCTTGTATTCCTGGAATAAATCCCACTTGGACATGGTGCATGATCTTTCTAATGTAATGCTGGATTAAATTTGCTAGGATTTTTTTGAGGATTTTAGTATCTGAGTTCATCAGCAATACTGGCCTTTAACTCTCTTTCTTTATAGTGTCTTTATCTGGTTTTGGGATAAGGGTAATGCTGGCTTCATAGAAAGAGCTTGAAGTGTTCTTTCCTCTTGAATTTTTTGAAACAGTCTGAGGAGAAGAGGTTTTAGTTCTTCTTTGAATGTTGGTAGAACTTCCCCATGAAGCCATCTGGTCCAAAGGCTTTTGCTTGTTAAAAGTTTTTGATTACTGCTTCAATTTCCTTCATAATTATCAGCCTATTCAGGTTTTTTTTTATTCTTCCTGGTTGAATTTTGGAAGGTTGTATTTTTATACATTTCCATCCCCTCATTCTCAGTCTGTGTGAGTCCCTTGTTCTGTGGTGGGTCTCATGTAGACACATATATATGGATCATGTGTTCTTATCCATTCAGCCACTCTGTGTCTTTTGATAGAAGCATTTAGTCCTTTTTTGTTTAAGGTTGTTATTAATAGATACTTGTTTGTAACCATTTTTATTATTTATGCATGTGTTCCTTGTTGCCTTTCTATTTCTTTTTTTATATCACAGTCCCTTTAGCATTTTTTGATGGCTTGGTAGGGATAAACTCCCTTGCCTTTTTTAGTCTGTGAAGCTCCTGATTTCCCCTTTAATTTTAAATGATAGCCTTGCTGGATAGAGTATTCTTGGATTCAGTCCCCTTGCTTTGCATCACCTTGTATACTTCATTCCATTCCCTTCTGACCTGATGTGTTTCTGTTGAGAAATAATTTGATAATCTAATGGGGGATCCTTTTAAGGTAACTCTCTGTCTCTCTCTTGAAGCCTTTAGGATTCTCTCTTTGCCATTAATGTTTGCCATTGTAATTATGACATGACTTTGTGTAGGTATTTTGGGTTCATCTTGTTTGGGACTCTCTGTGCTTGTTTGACTTTTTCTTCCCCATATCAGGGAAGTTTTCTTTCATTATTTCTTCAAATAGGTTTTCTAATTCTTGCTCCTCTTCTTGTCCTTCTGTCACCCCTATTATATATATATGTTACTTTGTTTCATGTTGTCCCATAGTTCCCTTAGGCTCTCCTCCTGCTTTCTAATTTTTTCTCCAATTGCTGTTCAGATTGTGTGTTTTCTGCCCTATCTTCTAACTCACTAATTAAGTTCTCCACTACTAGTCTGTTGAATCCTGCCATCCTATTTTTTACTGTAGTTATATCATTCTTGATTTCCTCCTGATTCTTACATAAATTGTTGATTTTTCTCATCCATGTAGTTTATGAACTGCACAACCCTTACTCTGAATTGTTTTTCTGACATGTTGCATGCCTTTGTTTCATTTAGTTCCTTTTCTGAAGATTCCTCCTTTTCTTTCCTTGGCTGAGTTGTTTCTTTGTCTCCCCAATTTTGCTGTCCCTTTCTGGCCCTGGGCACCCATAGGGAGTTTGAGAGGTTGAAGACTCTATCAGGGTAATTGTCTGGAAATTGTTAGCCCAGAGGCTGAGTCTGCCTTGAGTCTCACTCTTTATTGTCTCTGCTCTATGTTTTATACCCTTCTGTCATGGATCTGGTTCCCCAGTTGTCTGTTTCAGATGCTCAGGGTGGTGGGTGCACATGTACAGTTCCTCTGGTGTGTGACTCCCTGTGAGGACCCAGAGCCCTCTGGCATGCAATTGTTCTGCAGTCCTGGCACCTGTGGCACCACGGCACCCTAAGTCCCTCTGGCATCACACTTAAAGCATGGTCCTGTGGCCCCTGGCTGGGCACACAGGCTTGCTCCGGGTCACCCCAGAAGTGCTCTCCTGTGGCCCAGAGTGAGGCATGTGCTGTGTTGCTACAGGTAGCCCCTGCAGGACTGTTCCAGGGGCCTTGAAGAAGTGAGTGTTGGTTTTTATGTGTAGCAGTCAGAGCTCCCCTGTCGCCTGAGTGGGCACATGCTGGTGTACTCCAGGTTTCTCTGGCAACAAGACCCTGGGCTAGGGATGGAGTGGGCGTTGGCTGCTGTGGGTCATACCTTGTTTTATTGTAGCCCGGAGAGAGACACATGCTGGGTTGCTCCAGTTCACCCCTCCTCAGTGTGGAGCGGGGACGAATTGCACTGGGTTGCTCAGTCCATGCTCTCTTGTTGCCCAGAGTGAGATGCACGTTGTGTTGCTCCAGATGGCCTTAGCAGGACTGTCCCAGTGGCCAGGGTAGAGCAGGTATGGGTTGCTCTGGGTCACACGGTAAGAGTTCCCTGGTGGCCCTGACTGAACTGGGTTCTTCTGGGCCACCCATCCCAGGCCAGGATGAAGCGGGCATGGGTTGCTTCAGGTCAACCCAGCTGTTATATCCCAGGGGACTGGAGTGGAGCAAGCACTGGTTGCTCTGGGTCACACAGTCCATACTCTCCTGTGGCCTAGGGCAGGGCATGCTCTGAATTGCTCCAGGTCATGCCAGCAGCAGATCCCAGGGTTTGGGTTGGAGCAGGCACTGGGTGGCTCCAGGTCAGGCTAGCAGCATGATTCTGGGGCCTGGGGTGGGGTTGGGGGTGGGGCACAAGTTTCCCCCTAGCCTGCACTCATTGTGTGGTCTTGGAGCTAGATCCTAGGACACTGGGTCCCAGCAGGTTGTTGAGGAGCCCTGGTGTGGGAGCTCACTTTGGTGGCTTATGTTTCCTGCAGACAACTGGAACACTGCACTACTCATTGCTGGGGCACGGTGGTGGTTTCACATGGGTTATGACTGCAAGTGGCATACTCTAGGGCAGTGGTTCTCAACCTTGGCTGCACATTAAAATCACTTGGGAATCTTTTTAAAATCCTGATTTCTGGGCCTTATCCTCTGGAAATTCTGTTTCTTTGTTAGTAATGTTGTGGCCCCACCCCATAACAAAGAAACAGAATTTTTCAGAGGATGAGGCCCAGAAATCAGGATTTTAGAAAGATTCCCAGGTGATTCTAATGTGCAGCCAAGGTTGAGAACCACTAATCTAGGCATCCTTTGCCATTCCTTATTGAAAATTGTCTCCTCAGCTGTGTCTAATTTGTTAATTCAGGGTGGATGTTCTCCAATTTATTTGCTTTTCTGGCTGGGCCCTAGGAGGAGGTGCATGACACTGCTGCCTATTTGGCTGCCATTTTCTATTCTCCCTCTAACTGTCATTCTAGCATGTGAGCATATGAATCAGTTCTGTAAAATCATCTGGTCAGAACCCCCTCTTGTACCTGATTTTAATCTTTCCTGCTATCTTCATTATTTCTACCTTGAATTATTCTGAAAATCTAGTCTTTTTGTCTCAACTTGTAACCAGCTTAAACATTTTCATAATTTTAGATTTATTGATAGCCACTAAAATCTCATCTCTGTGTAAAACTCGTTTTTGAATCCAAAATTTATAATGATCACATTTAGATATATTTTTGGCTCTATCTTTTTAAATATTTTTTTAAAATATATCTTCTTCCTCTCTTCAAGGACTCCAATTACTTTTCTATTAGAGCCTTTAAATTTTTTGCACAGCTCACCAACACTCTTCATTTTCTTAAACATTTATATTGAATTTTATTAGGGTAATATTGGTTAATAAAATTAGATAGGTTCCAGGGATACAGTTTATAACACATCATCTGTATGCTGTATTGTGGATTCGCCACCCACAGCCAAGTCTTCTTCCATCACAATTTATCCCCCCTTTACCCTCTTCTATCTCCCCTGCACCCCTCATTTCGCTCTGGTAATCACCATACTGTTGTCAGTGTCTATGAGTTCCTTTTTAAATTAATTTTTCTCTGTGTGTTAAATCTGGAATAGTTTCTATGTCTATATCTTCAAGCTCACTAATCATTTATTTTTGCAATGGCTCATGTACTGTTAATTCCCTCTGATGTAATTTTCATCTCACACAGTGTAGTTTCTCTCTCCAGAAGCTCAATTTGGGTCACATAATAGGTAGAGTGACTGGAGGGGAGAAGAAGACCTTTCTTTTTCTCTGCTTGTGGACAAACTGAGAATTCCCAAGATTATAAAGTGATAATTTTCTTATTAATATCTTAGGCAAAGTCATTTCTCTTTCCTTCAACATGATAAATGCCTCTGACTTCGCTCTGGCCTCCAGCCTCCATCATGTTGACACCATCACATTTGTTAGGATTAGATTGTGACTGATGTTTAGTCTTCTTTCCTCAAATTATCCTTGCATTTAAGATCTAGATCAGCTTGTTATAAAATTATAGTTTCACTTTTCTCCTTTAATATTAGAAAACACATTCTGTCATTTTTATGCAGTACTGGTATTGAGAAATGGCAGGATATTTATCTAAATGTTTATTCCTTTAAATATTGTGTTAGCAAAGCTACTCAACATGTGGGCCACAGACAAGTGCCTCTATATAAACTTTCTTACCAGTTGTTTCTGAGACAAATACAGACAGAGAGTATATTATAACACTTTTAGAGCAAATTGACAGAATAATTGCAGGTATATTGAATCTAATAATAATTACCACTTGTAATCATGTGTCTTTTATTCACTTCATTTTGCAGTAATTCGTTTTAGAAAATTATCATTCTGTGATACATTATATATAAATCAAGAAACAACATTTATAGCAATAAGCAAAAAATGCTACTTCTCTGGAGGTTGTTTAAGAGACACTGCTGATGTAGTCAGACACTCTGGTCACGCAGACTTACAGGGCCTTATGCCAAGAGGCTTCGAAGTCAATGGCTCGGGGCCACCCATCAAGACTGGAATCCCAGCAGCATTACAGAGAACGGGCTACTGTCTTCATGGTATCGGGTTTTCCCTCTAAATCACTTAATATTAAGCAGATGGGGAAAGCTCCATGGATTCCAGTTTGAAGTAAGGATACAATGACCCAGAGAAGCTGAGCTGGGTGAAAGAAAAGATGTGGCTACCATCAGTCATGTTATAGAAAGAAATGTCACCGTCCTCATAATCCAAGAAAATCACAATCTTTTGTGGACACTTTTCTATCAGGAGATGCTCTGCTAGAGAAATTTTTTTGAGACAACAGGCGAGAGCCCTGTAGTCACATCCCTTCTTCTCTAAGATTCTGAATTGTAATCCCTTGCTGTCTGTGGGCTCCTCATGAATGCCTAGAGTCCACTCATTAGTGTCCTCAATGTCCACCTCCCAGTAATATCTCCCTGACATGAAGCCTTCCACTTTAAGTGTGATGAGGTTGCCGTTTCCTTGCTTGTTACTAAGAGAGAGATCCTGTGTTTCCTCTCTCAAGGTCTCTTTTCTCTCTGTGTCAGAATTGTTCTGGAGAAAAGTTTTAAGATGTAGAGTCACAGGAGCTGGAAGAAGAGAAAGGAAAGGACAACACTGTAAATTTCAGACATCTGCTATACCGGAACCACAAATTAGCAAACGTGGGCTCCGTGGTGAAAGACCACTCCTCTGAAACTGTGTTTGGGGAGGTGGGGCTGGGGAGTTAGCTGTGCTCTCCCCGGGGTGCAAAGTACTCATCTGGCCTTATCTCATCCATGCTGCTATCCATGTTTTGGAAGAATGTCAGTGAGCCAGGGACTGCGGTGTTCACTTGAGAATAATGCTCTTTCTGTGTTTTCTGCAAATCAGACCTGCATTCCTTAATGAGTAACAGGCCCCATGAGGGCTGACCTCTTTAAAGAGAGCAGCCCAGTTACTCTTGCCATTTTGAGGATTTTTTACTAGTTTGGGGTCTCCTCACAGAGAGGCTGCACTAATTTCTGTTTCAGAACCAAGTGGACTCCACAGAGGAGAAAGCTGGGCCAACAGACAAAGGCAGAAGCACAATGGAGTAGCTAATCCCAGCAGCAAGTTTCAGTCCAGGCTAACATTTACCAACCCCCATGTTCTTCCCTCTCTTTACCAGAATAATGCTGCCTCCATCTTCAACTAGGCATTGATGTTAGGAAGGGAAAGGGGGGGGCAGTTAGAAGAGAGACAAAAAGATAAATAAAGAACTTCTCACCAAGGTTGAAGTGTTCCTTCCTCCAGTCTGAAAAAGAGCAATACCAATTGAGATCAAGATGGACACACAGCCAGGGAATGAAAAGGAGGAGGATGCTTCAACTCTGGCTCATTGCTAATTTTTCTGGACTCTCCTCACTTCCCCCTTTAAGCCCCTCACTCTGATAGTGTCCAGAAACTATGGGACACACGTAGCTTCCTGTGCCCTGCCTCAGGTTAGGAACCATCACCTAGTTCATCCGGATGCTGGGTTAGGGGACACCTGTAGAGGGTCTGGTGTTCCAGGTGCCTATGCTCTTAAGATCTCCATGGCCCTCCTTAGTGAGGACCAGACCTATCAAATGTCCTTTCATTTTATTTTATTTGGGGGTTTTCCTCTGCCTGTGACCTCCTCAAATGTGGCTTAAGCTACTCAACTGACCTCTGTTATTTTGACCCCTGTAATCAGTTTCAATGTGTGTGTGTTTTTCAGAGACAGATTCCTGCATCTGCTTCTGCTCATGGCCACTTCTCTTATAATAAGACCTGTGTTGTTATTTAAAGGTTGGATATTATCATAGAGTCTTAGGATGATAGGCAAATAAAGACATGGCCATGATTCTCGACAGGAGCAGTGTTATGGTCTCTCACAGAACTTCCCTCCTGGAACAAGTGTAGCTCCAATATAGAGAATCCTGAGGAACAGCTGAAATCATTCCAAACTCTTTGCCTTAGAAGGAGACTGAGGCCAAGACAGAGAATGACCCTATTCCTCAGCTGAAACTGTTAAGAGTTAGAGTTAAAACTTCTGTCCTCATCCTCATACTTGCTGTCTCCCCTGGAATTATGGGAACATTTTTAAGCATCTTGTAACAGAAAACTCTATAGAAACTGCCTCATTAACTTATATTCTTGTGAGGGGCTCCTCTGACCTCCTCCTATCAAAGCACTTTTAGGCTGTGTGCAGTTGCTAGCTAACTTTCCCAGTGGATTTAAGTTCCATAGAGTCAGAGATAATGGCTCAGGCCACCAACATCCAGCACAATGTCTGGCATATGAAATTGCACACACATACGTTCAAAGAATGACCTGATATGTTTTCAAGGTCCAACTCTATTACACACGCACACACACACACACACACGCACACACTCTTACTTAAAACCCACACAATACATAGAAGGTATAACAACAATCAATTCCTTCTACCACCAGATAGACATATTTTTTTTAATTTTATAAATGATATTGAGTTATTTGCAAACATAAATCCATCCCTGTATATTGAACTTTACTTTCTTCATTTCAAATAGGTAAAATCATAGTTAATATCTTTCCCAAATTTAAAATATAATACATTATCTGCTCTTTTAAACCTTAATTTCAGTATAGAAATGCTGCTATAATGGGGTACTTTTTATTCTTCCCAAATCTCATCAAAATTGCTCTGAGTTCTGTGCCTTCTTCTCCATGACGGATGAGCTAACAATTATTGTTGAATCATACCCTATGCGTGTTGTAAAATCCCCAGTTAGCAGCTATTTCTCCTCTATCCTTAGTTTTGGAAAACAATTGATTACTTAAGCATCCAAATACAAAATACTACAGATTGAAACTGAATACATTTTCACAATGTGTGTGTGTGTGTGTGTGTGTGTGTGTGTGTGTGTGTGTGTGTGTTGTGGTTTTGTCTCTGCTTATTGTGCTCAGAATACCAGAAGCACTAGGCAAGATCTGAGGCCAAAGAGTTACTTACCAGGATATAGCAGGGCCTTCTTCCAATCTGAACAGAACAAATCCAGGTAAAACATGTGAGACATTCATCTGGGGCTTCACATTCCTCTCCCTCCCCCTTATTTTTCTTCCACTGATTATTATTGAATCTCTTAGTCTTCCCCTCTGAGGAGAAGGAGCTGAGGAAGTGTTGGGCATTGGGACGTCAGGTGGCAGGGGAAACCAGGGAGTCTTACCTGCAGCGTATAAGTTCTTCCGCCTCTCTGGAAGAAACAGCACTCAGTGAGAAACCCACAACAGGTGTGAAAGGAAAGCAAGTTCCCCAGGGCATGAGAAGAAGGAAGACTCACCCAGCTCTGCTTCGAGATTCGCTGAAAGAAAAGATATAAACTCCATCAAGATGGGTTTTAGCTGCTCCTGAGTTCGGGAAGTAGCTAAATAAATTAAATTTGGCTTTCCCTTAGGGGCACCATAGTAAAGTAGGCAAGAAAATTAGCAGACTTACATGTCAAATCTAACATGACAAGAGCTAAGAGAAGTTACTTGGGAAGTGCCACAGAGCCACAGAAGAAGGCGTGCCCATGCTTCATGGGGTTTAAGATTTCTTAGTGGTTTCTGAAGCTTGTTCTTGAAGGAGGAATAGGAAGAGAAGATGGTTGCAGACAGTTCCACAGTTGGAGCATCAGCATAGGCTGGGCACAGAGGCATGGAAGGACGCGGCATGGTCTGAGCCAACGAGGAGGCTCATGGCCACTCCCACAGACCTCCTGGCTTCCCACATGGTTTGCTCCTTCCTTGGGGCTCATGTGGAATTCCTGGTACCCTGTGCTTTCCTTGAGGCCCTTTGGCAACCTTTTATTTCCCCATTCTCACTGCACAATGTATCCCCAGCTATTTTATAAAGCTCTGATTTGCCCTGCTGCCCCAATTTACCTTTGGCATTAAGCGCCTTTTTCTTTTCACACTTCATCTGATCACGTTCGTCAGATTCATCATCCCTCTTCTTTAGATCTCTCTCTTTGGCCAGATGTTCTCTCCAGCCAGTGTAGCTGATCCCGATGAGGAGGAGCACCAGCACAGGGAGTGTCCCAGCCAGGGCTGCCTTCCATGGAGACATCCTGGGGAAGAAGGGCTCTGACAGGCAGGGACAGACGCGGTGAGGACCACCTGAGGGAAGCCCTACCCTCCTTCCCTCCCCCTACCACACCCCCAGCTGTGCCTTGGAGATTGTGCCTCACTGACCTGGGAGGAAGATGGTTGACTCCTTCTCCTGCCCAGAGAGGGGATTCTGGACGGAGCAGGTCACATTGCCTAGAGAGCTGTCCATGACGACAAGTGATGCCTCCACGTGGAAGAGCCCATCTCCGTCCTGGGTCAGGGACTCAGAGTGAGACAGGAGCTTCACTCCCGCCTTGTCACTCCACTGCACCCTGGGGTTTGGGAACCAGCCACCTGAGGAGCACAGCACTCGAATCCCGCCGTCCTCAGGCCCCGTCATGTGAACGTGAGGGTCAGAGCCCAAGCCTGAGGAGAGAAGGCATGTGCCTGAGACATGTGGTCTTTGGTGCTCAGGAGTCTCTGAGGCTGAAGGCCACACTGCCCTTCACTAAGCAGATGAGTAAACTGAAGCTCAGAGGTCAAGAAACCGCTCACAGCCAGCATTAATTTCACCTCAGCAATAATTGTGCTGAGAGACTCCCTCCCCCCGTGCACAAATGTCATGCACCAGGCCTTTAGTCCTGAATAATCAACTAAAGACTAGCTGGAGAGAACCCTAATAACCAAGGATGGAAAGTGGACACCACATAGAGACTGGTAGGAAGGGCAGAGGTGTGAGAGGGCTGGCTGGGCTCCCACAGGTGGCAGCTAAAGTTCCGGAGGGATATTTCAGCTGTTGGGGGTTCCCACTGAGAGCTCTTCGGTCTAAACCCCAAGCTGGGCTCCCTAGCCCAGAGCACCAGAACTGAGAATGTACCCACATAATTTTGGCTGTGAAAAGCAGCAGGGTTTCTGTCTGCCAAGGAGAGATGGCTGGAAATTCAGGCACCCTCTTAAAGGGCCAATGCACAAAATTTCCTGTGCAGCCACTCACCTTGGCCTCTGGCAGAGGGAGGACAGAGTGGACTAGAGCTGTGTGAGGAGAATCCAGAGTTGGGGCCTCTGGGTTTAGAGCTCAGAAAGCAGCCACTCCAGTTTCCTATCCTCATACTGCAGAGGACATCCTTCTCAGGGAGACCTTGACCACCCAGGCAGCTTTGGCTGGAGGGGAAGCAATTGCCCCACACTGTGGGAAACTGCTAGTCCCACCCAGTGGAGTTATGCCTTGCTGTATGTGCCTTTATAGCCTGAGGCTCATTAAGACTGAGAATAAAAGTTGGACAGCAGGCAGAGGAGGATCTCTGGAGGCTTTCCGTCTTGGCCTGCTCTGCTTCTGGGCCTGGGGCTAGGAAAAGCAGACCTTGATGTACATCTTGGTCCTTTGCAAAGGCACTCAGCCCCAGCAGAGGGCTCCACAAGGTGTGGATTTCTGATAGCTCTAAACAGGGTTCTCAGGGCCAGTCGCAAACTGCATCTGACATTGTCCTGCAATAGACTGAAGGCCTGGGGCAGGGGACAGGGGCAGGCTAGAACTGGTCAGTAGGGACATAAAGGGGATATATGTAATACTTTCAACTTTCATTATTTTAAAAAAGAAGAAAACAAAAAAAAAATATTCTGCAAGGTAAAGTAGCATGGCAGCATCACAAGGACATGCTTGGAATCCAGACATCCTCACCTTTCTCTTTGCTTTACAGCAGGACAGGTGAGCCGGACTGACATACCTATAACATGCAGCTCTACAGTGGCCTCCTGGGAGATCTGACCGTCCTTAAACTGACACCGGTACTGGCCATTGTCAGAGGCACGGACGTGGTGGATCAGCAGGGCCATGGTCCCCTTGCCGATGGAGTCCCCAACCAACTCGGTCCTGCCACGGTACTCCAGCATTTGCTCTCCACCTTGTTCCTGCCCATTCTTGTACACAAGCACAGCGGGGGACAGCTGGGCTCGGTACCACCGGATGTGCATGTGGGCTGTACTCTGCTCAGGGGACAGCTGGCAGGGCAGAGTGGCGTCTGCCCCTAGCAGGACCATGACGGGTTCAGCTGGACCCTTCACAGAAAACCCGGGTGCTGCATAAGAATCAGAGAGAGATTAGAGGGGATGAGTGAGGAGAGAAGAGATGAAAGACCCATCTGCATTTCTTTATTTAGAGACCCATACATATTTTCTTATTTGTATTACTTTCCAAAAAGTTAATACATATTTTTTAATTGATTTATATATAAAAATCTGACTTCTTCAACGGTATTCCCCTGAAGTAACAACTATTCATAGTTTGGTCTTTGAGAAGGCATTTTTTTCTATGCATTTATATGTGAATTAGGTAAAACCAATGTAAAAGAGATTTATTGATAATTAAATATGGCAAAGTAACTTATTAAGCATTTGTCCCTTTTTGTGGTGGAGAGAGGGATATTGAAAGGTACTTCCCTCGTCATTCTTCCCTTTGCTTCCCAGCACTCTGCTCCTAGAAGGATAAGTAGATGTTTCTGACCTTGACATTTAGGTTACTGCATGTTGGGTTGGGATGCCGGGAGGATTATAGTGTATGGCTGTCCCAAGGTGAAAAGTAGAATTTATAAGGTAAGGTAAGCTATTTTAGATCTTTTATTTTTAATAACTATGAAGGCTTGGAATCATAGAGAATTTTTTTTTCATACAAACTATTTTCCTGAATGGATAAAGAAGATGTGGTACATACTAGTATATAGAATGGAATATTATTCAGCTACAGAAAATGGAATGAAATCTTACCACTTGTGACAACATGGATGGCCCTACAGGGTATTATGCTAAGTGAAATAAGGCAGACAAAATAAAGAAAAATATCATGGTTTCACTTATATGTGAAATCTAATAAATACATAAATAAATAAATGAAAACAAGAAAGATGCATAGATATAGAAAACAAACTGTTGGTTGCCAAAGGGTAGGGGTGGTTAAGGGGAATGGGTATAAAAAGTGAAGGAATTAAAAAGTACACTGGCAGTTATAAAATAGTCTCGGGATGTAAAGTACAGCATATGGAATGTAGTCAATAATATTGTAATAACTAAGTATGGTGTCAGGGGGGCACTAGACTTATCAGGGGGAACACTGTGTAAATTATGTAATTGTCTAACCACTATGCAGTACACCTGAAACTAATATAATATTGAAGGTTAACTATAACTGAAAATTTAAAAAATATTTTAAATTTAAAAATAATAATGTAAAAGAATTACTGAAAGAAGTGCAAAACTTGGATGCTAGTGGTTCCAGGTGTTAAGAAGCAGGGCAGTCCTACCAGAGAGGAGGGCTGGATCCCCAAGGAAGGGAAAGAGGATGCCTGCAGGCCTAAATGGGAACTTTGCCTACATTATAAAATACCCCTTTTTGTTGAGTCACTTACAGACATCTGCTTGAAAGCTGTTTTGCCATAGAAAACCATGATGACTAAAAAGTGAGTGGTGCCCCCTGGGCAACATTTGCATTCGGAGGCCCAGGATCCTGGGGATCCTGTAAATGGTTAGGATTTAAGGGCCAGAAAATGCAGGGTGGGGTGGGAAGGGTTCAGAAAGTCATGCTGTGTGGGTGCTCAGGAGGGCTGAGCACAAATGGCAAAGGCATGTGACCTGAGAGAAGAAGCTCCTGATGGGTCTGTCCCAGGAGCGTGGATCAGGCAGTCCTGGACAAGGAGCATGACACTGGCCATTAGGCTGGACTGAGCCAAGACCCCTTCCTTTCCCTTCCTGCGTACAACCCAGGGAGCTGGTATAACTCAAAGGATATCTATTCCTTACCAACTGTACTGGGCTGTTGGCCATACATGTTACGTGAGCCATTCATTTAGAAAAAGGCATTGGCATTCCTTAAAGCCACAGTGAACTGGAAAATATCATTCTGCTTCACAGAAATGGGGTCATTGTGTACCAATTTCTGCAATAGGAACATCCAGCTATTTTAGTACAGAAAGTCCTAAATGTTGCCACCGTCACATTTAAACTTTCCTACATTGATTATTACTACAAACAGCCCCATAATAAACACTATCCTATATAATAAAAGGCTAATATGCAAATTGTCCCCTTGACTGAGAGTTTGACCAGGGGATGGGGCTGGCCAGCCAACCACCACAGCTCCACCCCCTGGCTGGCCCGGCAATCAGCCCCCATCGGGGTGGTCTGGCCAGACCCCACATGGACAAATTCGTGCACCAGGCCTCTAGTATATAATAAGTATACATATGGGAGAGCTTATCTTTAGGGTACATTCTTGTAGGATTGCTGAGTCAACATATATGGAAATTAAACATTTGATACTCACTGCTTAATTGACCTTAAATCAGAGGTAAAAAATATCATTGTTATAATCTCATAGCTGGTTTATCTTTAAGCCTGGTGTCTGAAAACTTTATACTGAAGGTCCTTTTATTATATAAAGGAAAAACTCATGTCCCAGAAAAAATAAATACCTTTTCCCAAGATTATAACCAGATAGAGCTCAGGGATCTTGAGTCCAAATTCTTTGTACACAGATTGAGTTTTCTTGGCAGTGTATACATCATTTTACAAACATTTACATCAAAATTAAACAGGCTAAAATCACACATAGGCAATAAAAATTTAGATAAATATTACAGCTTTGAGTTTTATGAGGTCTAACCATAGGAATAAGGGACATTGACATGAAGGCGATCACTCCCATTCCTGGCCCAGCCCTCCAACCCCTGCTGGCAGCAGACACAGCCACAGTCCCGGATAGAGTGTGACCCCTGGATAGCCTGCTTTATCCTTACAGAAGAGCCATTGAAAACAAGCCAAAAAAGTAAAAAGCTCGAGGGAGAACACGGACCTGCGGAGCACCATGAGGGCACCTGGAGGAGGAGGACCGGGAGGAGAAAGCCAGCGGCACAGCCAGGAACACCCACCATCTTCAGAGCAGGAGGCAGCACGGGACTCACAGTGTTAACTCTGAGGGAGGAGGGTGGGCTGAGGAGAGGGTGAGAAAGTCCACAGGGTGAACGGTCTTAGAAAAAAGTCCCCTCCCAAACACTGACTTTTGTACACAGGGTTTTGCCTGTTGTCCCTCACAGACCTTCTGATAAGCACCACCAACTCCCACCCACCTGCCAGTGGGTTCTCTTTCCTCTTTTTTTCTGAAAACCAGCTGTTTCCCCCAAAGGTGTGGACAGCTGTAAACCCTACTCTTGTGTCCTGTGAGCTGTCTGCTCGCCTGGGGACGCGCCTCTCACCAGGGCTCTCTTGAAAGAGAAAGTCCTGAGTTCAATGTTGAGAAACAAAGTCAGACACAAAATCAGTCCATTCTCTCAGCCAATCTATCTTTCTCCTTCTTGTCATTCATTCATTCATTCATTCATTCACTCACTCATGCCTTCATTGATACGTTTTTTATTTCTTTTGACCACTAACAGCTCTTGTGGCTTAGCCCCCTAAGGAAGGCAGTTTTCTCACCATGTGACCCTGAGGTCAAGCCCTTCCTTTTCCAGGCCCCACATGCCCCAAAGACACACCTGCGCATCCCACACCTTTCTCTCTCACCGTCCAGACTGGGCCACAGGGTGGGTGTTCCTGGAAGCTCCTGGTCTCCTCCGTGCACCCACAGTGCCCGCTCCAGAGGCAGTTTGCGCCTGGCTGTCCTTGTGGTCAGCATCCAAGGCTGTGGCTGCAGGGGCTGGGAGCAGCAGGCTTCAACCCGCCCTGATTGGGAAAATATCCTCAGAAGGCAGGCAAACACCACTGCCAGGAGGCACTGGCATTGGCATGCTCTCCGAGAAGGGTCTGATGAGAAAGGCACAGCCTGCCTCCACTCTCTAGTTACTTTGAAAGTGGAGGAATAAAGGCCATCGCGGTGGACTTTGGACTGAGCTGAGTATGGAATGATAAGAACTCTCAAGTTGCTTTGGTGGGAAATGCTCAGTGCAGTTCCTCCTCCTGCCTGCAGAGGGCGGCAGTCACATATTTCAGAGAGGAAATCTTCCTGTAAGATACTCAGGTGTTGGTCATCCCAATGTTCCATTCACAAACGGGACTGATTTAGACAATAAGACCAACAGGAGCACGCTTCCCTTTGGGGAGTAAAACCACACCCTGAAGGACATTGGAAGCCGTGCGCAGAGCTTTGAGGGGAAAATAGGAGGTCAGAGAGGGGAGGCTCTGTGCTCCAAGAACCTTAGGGCTCCCAGGAGTAGAAAGAAGCAATAGCACAGCTGTACAATGCCAGACATAGAATGTGCTCCAAAGGTGTTTTCTTTCCATTCCACATACTTTCCAAGTTCAATCTGATTCTTCACCTGCACGTCACTACACCTTGCTCTCTCACAAGGTTTACAGATAATTAGAGACACAACTAGCCAGTGCATAAACATTTACTGTGGGAGCCAGTAACAGTCTGGCCAAAGGGATACCAAACACCTAAGTTCTCTAGAGACAGTGAGGGGCATTCAGCTTTTAATAATTTAAATTTCTGAGATCTAGTTTGCACACAATGGAGACATGGTTTTGAAAAGACATTTCGGTGAGGTTTTACAAATGCTCGCACTCATATAACCACCACCTCGATCAAAATGTGGAACATTTCCATCAACTGAAAATTTTCTTCATGTCCATTGTTCGCCAGGACAATCCAGGACAAACAAAAGGAATCTCATGCAAATCACTATAACTTAGTCTTGCCTGTTCTGAAATTTCAAAACAAGGAGAAAGGAATCGTACACTATATGTGATTTTGTGTTGGTTTCTTCAGTTAAACACAATGTTTTTCGAGAGTCAGCCACGTTGTGTGTATCGGCACTTTTTTATTTTTATTGCTGCATGATATTGCATTGTTTGACTAAAGTAAAATACGTTCTTCTGCCGTTCTCTTCAGGGCTGTCCCCCACTCATGCCTCCCTCCTCGTGCATTCAAGCCCTTTCACCCCAGGCTGGGCAGCTCCTTCTGGCGTACTTAGGCCCTGACCCCACCTAACAGTTTAGGGCTGAAATGTTAGGGAATGGGAAGGGAAGACTGAGGGGAAGAGAGGAGAGTTGAAACACTACTTGCCTCTTTTGTTTACTTTGAAATTGATGATATGTGTGTGTGTGTGTGTGTGTGTGTACTGTTCTAAAATGTCAATATATTAATATACATTTCCAGCAAAGCTGAAAAAATACATTTGGAAAATGTATATACATAACAGATATTTTCCACAATAACAGAAAATTGTTTGAGTAGAGTCATTAATCTGTGGAAAATATTTTGAGTGAATTATATTACGTACACATCAGTGTTTGTTGTTTAAGAGAGAAAAGTGAGGAGAAAGAGAGAACTACAAGCTATTCATTTCAAAAAGCAGTTTTTAAACAGTGTGAACAGTATAATTCTATTTGTTTAATAATTAGAGAAGAGTAGACATCAAAATCACACAAAAATAATGATAGGGTATTTATTTTTGCGTGGTAGAAATGTGGGTGTTTCTATCTATTATATTTGCCTATTTCTAATTTCCAGATTTCTTTAACATGAAAAAGTAAAGAAAAATGTGAATAGAAAGATTTTTTAAATAAAACTTTGAAGTGTAAAAGGAAAGATTCATTTGTGGGAGATGCAGGATTTGAGAACCAATCAGCATTCTTGGGAATGAAAAACTGGCTTGAAATAGAAACCAAGTAGGAGGGGCAGTATCAGAGTAGACAGCACTGAGGATAAACATATCAGGCTAGAAAAGCGGAGTTACTGAATTCTCCCAGAAGACAGTACATTAAATCAGAGACATACTTTAGGAAGCACAAGTTTAGGGGCAACAGATCCAGAATTTCAACATTCAGCTCATAGGATTCCCCAAATAGAAAGAAGGAAAATCAGGGCAAGAACCAGGCCTCTGGACACTTAAATAAAGTTGGATCATTGGAGAAAAATGGGTCATTTATACATGAAATCTTGTAAAGTTTCATATCTCCAAGCAAGCAAGCAAGCAAGCAAGCAAAAACCTCCAAGCCCCCAGAGTCCTCCATACACCTGCCATTTATCATTCGCTAGAAAACAAATGAATATAGGCTTTACTTCCCTGAGCGGAAGCTACAATTATCTAAGGCCCAAAACTATCATTTAAGTGTAAAGCAAACAACAACAAAAAACAACAAAACAAAACAGTAAAGTTCTGGACAAGCAAGGAATCAAAAGTTCTCTCTTCACAAAACCTCTCATATAAAGAGAGAAAGTTGCACCCTAGCTGGTTTGGCTCAGTGGGTAGAGCATCGGTCTGTGAACAGAAGGGTCCCAGGTTCGATTCTGGTCAAGGTCACATGCCCAGTTGTGGGCTCAATCCCAAGTAGGGAACATATAAGAGGCAGCCGATCCATGATTCTGTCTCATCATCACTGAGGTTTCTAACTCTCTCTCCCTCTCCCTTCCTCTCTGAAATCAATGAAAATATATATTTTAAAAAAATAAAATAAATAACGGAGACAGTTACAGGTTTCAGTGCAGGGGCTTGGAGCAGGGTGAACGTATGGATACTTCTAGGCTTGGTTTTCTCCTCCCCTGGGTGGTCATTGTTATTTGAGTTGGGGTAAGGTGGGAGGTAAGAGATTTGGCAGATGTTACCTGCTGAATTTAACCACCTAGAAATAGAGGAGTCACCTGCTGATTTGATCTGTTTTCTTATTTTCCGGGCAGCCCCTTCAAATAGAGTATTTGTCTCCAGGGAGACTGTGTGGCTTTCCTGTGGTGGTGACAGACTTTTGGTATTTATTTTCATAGGCGGACCTAGGAAAGGTCTGACACTGAGCAAGGTGGAGGAAGGGGTTAGATAAGTGTCACACTGAGTCATT